AACAAGCACTGGTGTTCACCTGCTGCAGGCTCTGACTGCTGCCAGCTGCCAATTAACACCTATGGCATGTTAATTAGGCCGCAGACTCTGCCACTTCAGGGGACTTTTCATACCCCCTCACCACAAGTGCCTTTATTTTCACAAGGGCTCATGTGCAATCTGCATATGCATCTTGTATGTGGATTCAGGAGGAAGCCAAAGTGGGGCCTGAAGCTTTTGGCTGGAGACGTGGGTTCGTGAATCAATACTCTGAAGGTATTTTTTTCTTCTTTTTTTTTTTTTTTTTGACGCAGGGAAACATGTGGAAATTAAGGAAGGGGAGGGAATGGACGCATTTGTACCTACTGAGCGTTCAGACGTGATGTCATATCGCAACTACAAATTTAAATGTGTTTTTGTTTGTGCAATGTAAAAAGGCCCAAGTTAAAAATGTGCGCTAATCTTTGCCTGTATTCCGCTATCCTCTAAAAAAATGTCGGGAAAACCCCTCCCACAGATTCCCCAGTTGTGTAAAAAAATGGAATTCACACGCGAATACGCCAGTTCGCGCGAGAAGTCATTAAAAGTCACGTCAGCTTAGCCAGGACGCTAGCGTTCATCGTCTAACAGTCGCGAGGAGACTTCGGCAGGTGTTGGCCCGTGATGTGTTTAGGGGAAATTGTAGTCGGCAGTTTAACGGACGAGCTATGAAGTAAACACCTTGAAATGTTTCATTAACTATTTCCGAAAAAAAACAACAACAAATACAAACAGTCATTCTCGTACTACTTCCTGGTGTCTTCTTTATCTGTAGTGACGTTGTTGTCCTGTTGGTCACGTGACTCATGTGACGAGGAAAAGTGAAACATGTCTCGGTTGAAAAAAAAATAATTCAGGCCAAAAATTTTTTTTTTTTTAATTACCGTGTTTCTGTAAAGCAAATTAATGTTTCTGCAATTTTATGGTTTTGGACTTTGACTCATGAAGACACTTTAATTGAAGTACTCCACTGTAGGTTTTGGCTCCATGTTTAATTGTCCTGCTGGAAGTTGAGGCCTTCCCTGCCTTGCTGCCTCTCACAGGTTTCCTCGCACGGCTCCTCTATTTAGCTGCATTCAGTTTTCCATCATTCTGACCAGCTTCCCTGTCCAAGACGGAGAAGAAAAACCCCCAAAATATACTGCTGCCACAACCATGTGTCAATGGCGATTTTAAGTATGTTGTGCAGTTGTGGTTTCCCTCCACCCGTAGCTGGGCCTGTCACGATAGCCGTTTGCTGGACGGCTAACTGTCCCCTGAATTGCTGCGACAAGCAACATTGTTGTTTTGAGAGCATTTCCAAGGACAGTGGCAGAGTAATGCAAGTTTTCCCCCTGAAAGACCAGTAAATGTTAGTTTTGTAAAGAACATTTAACACTGGAAGTGGAAGACTTTTTAAATATGCAAAACAAATAAGAAAATGTCCAAATAATAAATAAAAGCCATACACAACCAAAACTGTAAATAAAAGGCATTATGAAGTCACTTTAAACAAAATTGAGCTTCAAGAAAATATTTATTATCAGAATGGAAATGATCAAGTTAACCTCAATTTATTGTGCAACTCACTGAATTAATTAAGTGAACTGTATTGGATAACTTGGAGATCTTCTGCAGGAAGTTGGGAGGGGGTGGGTACATCGGAGGAAAGACGTGCATGCCACACATTTCAGATTTTTAAAAAAAAATTGATGACCAATGTTGAAAAGAGTGAATACTTTTTCCTTCGACGTTATTTTCAGCTACATTTCGTTGCCACATTGTGGCCACGAGGAGTCGAAATGCGAATTCGGGAATTGTGAAAAGGCCTCGGGGCGCTGGGGCTGTTTATCGCATCTGCTCCCAACCAAGAAGTTCAAACATCGCACACATCCTGCTCGGACTCCGGCGCTGCTTCACACGTAAGACCAAATGGGCGACTAAGACAAACAAACCTCAAAACAAATTAAGAAAAGGCTGGTTCTTCTCACGCACGAGCAGAGCGTGATTCACCTCCCGAAATCTGGAACCAGTCATCTCTGAGTAACAACCTGCCGGGGTGATTTGTCAAGTCCGGGGGTGGCTGTGTGTGTGGGGGGGGGGGATGGAGGGGTGGAGAAGGGGACAGAGGAAAATTGCTCAAAATTTAGACAAACTTCCCAATGTGGTGTCATTAAAAAGCCCTGAGCCTAAAAAGCGGGCGTTCGGGGTCGGAGGGAAGAGGATAAGACGAGAGGCGCGTCTCTGTGTGTGGCGGGTGTTCATAAAGTGTTATTCAGGAAAAAAAAAAAGAGAGAGAGGGAGAAGAAAACCACCTGAAAGGCTTGAGAAACACAATGACACATCAAAAGGGAGAAACCTGAAGAACGTCGGTATAATGAGCTTCAGTGAATTAAGCTCAGATCCCGAAAGGAACAAAGTGCGTTAAAGGGTGTGAGAGAGCCAAAGAGTGAGGCACAGTGATGGGGACCTGCATGCGTTCACGCGCTTTAGAGGGAACACGCTGCGAGGTAAACACACACACCATGGGACTCGGGTGGCCTTCGAGTAGGTGAAGGATTTTCTCTGATTAAATATAATCTGAGAAAATGCACAAGACACTGTAAGCTCCCTGAGAGTAAGGGAAGCGAATGTGATTTTTGTGAGAGAGACAGAGAGTAAAGAAGACTGAAGACTTTAACGCATCTTGATAAGGGATGCTAAATTTCCATGTTGAAGAAAATATGAAACAGACAGAGCAATGCCACTTAAAGGTCATATTGTGTTTAACTTGGTGTACAGTATCATCCAGCAGCAGCAATTACTGTTCAATATATTTGGTTTTAATTGTTTAGCTGGAGTTTGCCATATGTGCCCAACAGAGGGGGGGGAAAAATCTATCAAATATCATCCAGCACTAAAGTAATGACTGAATAAATCACTGCAATTTTTCATCTCCACTTTATTAAATGTGAAGTTACCTTTGGTTACAGTAATTTTTTTCGAGTGAAATTTAAAAAACAAATAGATTTTACCCATTAAAACAGGTTAAAAAAAACCCAACAGGCAGGAGACGATAAATATAGACTGAAAACTTGAAAACCAGTTTGTTGCGACGATATCTTAGTCTGGTTGACTCTGGGAACCTTTGTGAATTACTTTTAAGTTCTGGCAAACATTAAAACTTTCAGACTGGAAGTGATTTCTCAAAAGCGTAGCAAAAGAAATGCTAATAATCCCTTCAAACATCCAATGGACTTTTGCTTAAGAACACGTGAAAAAGATTGCAAAACTGCTTGGGTCCTTGGAGGGAATTTAGAAAAAAAAAATTAGAATGACAAAAGACTTGAATCATACTGTATCATAATTTACAAAAAAAAAAAAAAAAAAAATCAAATCTGGGTTGACAAACACAGTTATTTCCACGAATATAAATATTGACCAACTCTCTAAGTTATCCAGTTTTAATTAACCTTTGCAGAATCAATGAAAACAGACTGAGCGCAGACCAATTTGCAAGAGAAACAGTCATCTGTGCTCTGTGTGCTCGGTAAGTGCTGAAACCCATTAACTGTGTGGGGTAACACGTTTCTGCTTTCCTTCTCCTGTTTTATGAGACATCATAACTCTCCGCTCCAAACAATATGAGACTAACTCACTAAAGTATAAGCAAGAGCTTTGAAGTCGCGAGGCGGCCGTAGTTTGGAAAGTCAAACAGGCTGCAGTGAGTGACAGGCTCTCGTATGTGTTTATTCACATGTGTGAGTCGTGGCGGCGTTGAGGGTCCGGGGGGAGAAGAACATCAAGATGTGAAATGAACACCGACTGGACAGTGGGTGCAATAGGAGTTAATGATCACAGCTTATTGATTTTAGACTGAAATGAATTGAGCTTCATCACCAAAGCACACTTGGGCCCCTTTGGTTTTGCTTTGTAATTCAGTTTTGAACTGATTGTACTCGTTTGGGCTACAGTGCAGCTTTGCCAGGGATTCAGAAACGTGGGATTTACAAATCAAATATCAGATCCTGATAAAAGTGCTTTCAAGCGATTGGCATAGGAGTCCCTGCCCAAAATCAACTCGTAAAAACCTTCTGTTGTTCTGCTGTCTGTCATTCTTACAGATCCCATCTTAGCGTTATTGTTAGGAAGAGCAGTCATTTGAATTGTAACAACTTTTCCTTCAAAGGCTCTCCCATTCTTCATAAGAAGTATCAAAATTGCAGTCGCGTGACGGAAATTGCGTCATCTTGTTCGTCGGGAGGTTTCCTTCTCATCTTCTCGACACCAGGTTGAACCAGGGGCGCCACCAGGAACTTTGGCCCCCCATGATGAAAAGCGTAATTCGGCCCCCCCGCCCTTCACAGCTGCTGTTACAATTTCTTGCATCTATCTGACCCGTCAAAAGCATCACAACTTCAAAGACGCTTACTTTCTTTGGTCCAATAGTGACACAAGCACAATATTCACTGCTAGTGAATTTTACATGCAACAGTCCTTTTTTATTATTAGTTTTAGCTCATTGAAATGTTTCTCCCCACCAGCAGCCGTCAAAAGCAAAGTGCAAAATATACATGAAGAATAGACCCACTCTTGCTGATTGTCGCTGACGAGATTTAGGGCGGCCATCTTGGAGGGGTCGACCGCTCCTCTCAGCGTTATGTGTTTGACAGGAGCAATGATGCATCAGTGCATTTAATCAATCATACCGAACAGATTTTCACAATTAGTTTTGCTGTAAAGCTTATTTAAACAGCTATCAGTTGGGTTTACAAGAATTTTTTAAAAGCATTTTTGAATTGACTCATAAATATTCCTAGTGGGGAAAACAGAATAGATTAGGAATAAAGTGTTCTCATATTGATGTATGATGAGCATCGTATAAAGCACACAACCACTCATAATTTTTCAAAATATATTCTTTAGCCTTGTCAATACATATTTATATAAATATGCAAACACAAAATTATACAATCATAGAGAAACAAGGATAATACCGAATTATATTTATATGTACAGGCTTACATACTTAATATCTACAGTTTTCCAGCCGAGGAGTCGTAGCTGATGAGAGATTCAGCTGAGATTCATCCGTGCCGTGCAGCGAGTCCGTCTCTCCTGAAACACATTTTCACTTCTTCCTCAGTTGGTGTCTTTATGAAACCTTCAAAACACAAAGCGGGAGATTTGGGAAGTACCTTACTCTTAACATAGTAAAAGAATCACATATAAATAGTAGTCTTTGTCACCTGTGTAAACTTTGCTGGTCAATTGCCCATTTGTGACACGAATAAATCTGAATCTAAATAATGTATATTATGTTGTTTTATTCCTAAAGTAGCACTCTTCTGTAGCATAATCTAAATCAATGTTGCGGAATAACTAAAACTTTTTAAGATTTACAAAATCTCGGTTAGCCTTCATTGTTGGGGCCGAACTCCAGTGTTACACCAAGTACTATAGCTAAGATTAGCTGGCGTTTTGCAGGTGGACAAAAATGCAGTAAAGTAATATTCTATTCACTAAATATAAATGGTAATATGTCCTTCTTACTTGTGAAAAGGTTTCTCCTGAGAACTCACTTAAATAGTTCATCGATCTGAATAAAAATATCGCACAGTCCTGAGGCTTCTTCTGCAACAATTTTAAAAGCACTATATGGTTAATTTTGTAAATGACAGGGCCCCCCTTTTTTTTTTTTTTTTTTTTTTTTGTGGGAGGGCCCCCTGTCTGTTAAGGGGCCCTTGGCGCCCCTGGGTTGAGTCTTCTGTGATTGATCAAATGTTTTTTATGCAGGAATGTGCTTGGACATCTATGAAGGTATTCCGCTTCAGCTTGTCTGCTTCCATTGTCCAAGTCTTTGTATCTGCAGATGACACAATCGCTTCTCAACTTGTACCATTTTCTGCAAAATACTTCTAAAAATTGTCAAATGGCATTTTCATGCTCAGTCAACGCTAACTCCTCTAAATCAGTGAATGGGATACTTGAATTCAATGGGAGGAATATTTGTTCAGGAAACAACACCTGACAACTGTGTCAAAATCGATAGTCAGCACGCTAGCATTAGCTTTTCAGCAAACTACTACATGAAAATAATGTTTTCATTTGTGATTGAATCAGATGCAATGTTAGAAACTGTTGTCCTGCAGAGACTCCATTGTGATAAAAAAAAGAAGATATTGCAATACTATCAGTGAGTGAGATAACCAGGGTGCAAACACAACGCTAATATAGGTCGTGTCTGTTGGCTGAAGTCATTTTTACGAGTTTAATGTAGTATCTTAAATGCATCTGGTATTAGTGACAAACATCTGGTTGACTTGTCCATTTTCTGAAAATCTCTTTGGGAAAAAGAAAATCAGAAATCCTTTCAAACAGATTCCCATCTGAAATCGGGTGCGGCTCATAAATGACCTCCAGTGCCAAAGTCAACAGATTGACTTTGGCTTGATCATTTATGTCAGAACACACGCATATTTGCAATTCTGCATCTTATCTGCATCCAATTCATTTCACGGTGTTATGAATTTGCTTTTCCAGACATAATATCTCAATAATGGCTGCCAGCTGCTGTTTAGCGGCATTTGATTATTTTACTATTAGTCCCATTTTTATTCCCCCAACAATTTCAGTTATTGTTACTTAACATGATTAAAGGAGGAACTGTCTTGAAAATTGGTTTATGTTATGGTCTAAGATCTGAAAGCGACCCCAGTGTGGAGTTTCCACGTCCAAACAAACGTCTCTGCAGCTCGGGATCGGGGGTTTGGGGGTGAGGGTGGGGGGGGGGGGATTTAAGTGGCGAACACTTTGCAGGCCCAGACAATTTTCAAGACCATTTCCAAACTTGAGAAGGAGCGGCCTGTGAATAATTGTGCTGTTCTTCATGCTTGTGATAACAATGTTATTCTAAAGAGGTGAAAGTGGCATAAATGCTAGAAAAGAAGCACTTAGGAGGCTAAAAAGACTTGTGAAAAACTCCACACGCTAAGTTGATGCCGAACGCCCCCTTTCCTTTTTGTGAGCGGATTCATTTCGGCCAAAAACAGCAGCAGAGTTTCAACTTTTCTCCCTTATGCATGGGCCATGCAGAGATAAATGCTACTGACCGTTTGATTGGTTTGGATTAGAACAGGAGGGAGACATTAGGAGTAGACAAACCAATTATTTACCCACCCACACTGCAGAGAAAAATACACCAGGCAAGAACAAACCGCACACAAACTGCACACAAACTGCATACTATTCATGACTCGGTTGGAAGATAACACAGAAGATAACACACTAAACGATGTGAATCAACTACTTGTATACGTATAAATTTTATGTTCATAAAGACATAAAAGGTCACATCTCTTATGTCAGGCAAACTTAGCAAATGCTTTGGAAGGTTTGTGATGATGTGGGGCTGTGATTTATCTTAAATTAACTACATTCAGGTTCAAACTAAGGCTTTCCTCTTTGAGAAACTGTACATTTACACTATAATCTCTGTCATGCTAGAAAATATTCAGATCACATATAAATTTTCTTTGCAAGGCTTGTTGGATTTGCTTCACGGATGGAGGGACTTGTAACTCCTGTCCTCTGGATGAGGAGCGAGTCTTTAGACATACTGAATCAGGACTTATTCTCCAGATGCCACAAACAACTCGAGAGGGGATTTCAGAGAGGGAGAGAGAAAAAAACATCTCCACTTTCTTACTGCAAAACTTCCAATATGTCCATCACATTTTATTTTACTTCTTTGCTGCGTTTTTGATCACAACGTAGCTCCCTAAAAGTCTTTGTGTCACCTTGTATCATACGCTGCACTTCACTTGTTTATCTCTGTTCCTTTGTGAAAAATATTCTTTATGTGCAAAATAAGGAGCCTTAAACAAACAAACAAAAAAAAACAAGTCTCCCTTTTCTTCGACGACGTCTGGATTTCAGCGACTGTTTCTGAGCGGAGAGGAGAGTGGCGTGTCCTGTAATATGCTTTTTGACCCAACGCCGGTAACCACAAGTCCAGGGCGCCTACCCACTGGTATAATTGAATTCTGTGCCCTACGTTTCATATCTCCAAACAGAACGTGGTCTCAGGGGAGACACAAGTCAAAGCATTACTCACTCTAGCAATGACTCACTTAAGGTAGTGACAGTTTTCAAGTCCAGAAACGTTCCTCAGAAGGAAATGACTGCAAACCTAATAAGACATCACTCTTCAAAAAGTCATTTAAAACAATAATACATGCATGTCTCGTCAAACGTTTGGCCCACTGTTTGTTTTAGTTTATTCACAAGACAATCTGGGAGCCTGGTGTCAAAAATGTAAACGTCAGAACAGCACATTATATTCAGTCTGTTTTCCTTTTTTTTGTATTTATTCAGTTCTTGTCATTTATCATATTGTACCACAAATCTCCAATAAAAGTGCAGCAGAACTTTTAATCTTTTTGGTAACTTTGCTTCTATATTGTATTTTGAAATTTACTCAGCATCGAACAGGCCGACCAGAGTAAAGTTTCTGACTTTCCCTTGCAAATTGAAAGCTAACTAGTAGGAGTAGCATGCAGTCATGGAGGAAAACAAATTTTGTAAATAAAAGGCATAAATTAATGAAAGCCTGTCTTGAACTCCTTGGCTCTGTTGGAACCGTTTGGAGATAGACCCTTCACTTTCCATGTGACTTGACACAAGCACATGACGCAAGGTCTATCGGACTATGAATTGGTAACGCTGGTGTGATGAAACTTGGGATGAACCACCAGTTTTGGGATAAATTTGAGCAGAAACTGTAAGCCAAGCCATCTTGTCCAACGTCAGTGTCTGACCTCACAGATGCTCTCTTGGTAGAGTGACTAAAAATTCCCACAAACACACTTCATAGCCACGTAGACAGCCTACTAAGAAGAGATAGAGATAGCCACAAAGACCGGTTTGAAGCCATCGATACATCATTGTCAAAAGGGTCAACAATAATTCAAGATCAACACCGACTGCAATCTTTTGTTGTTGCTGAATCAATAATTTAAAACACAGAATCCCTGAAAACAATCAAAATAAATGTGTCATCTTAAGCTTGGACTTAAAAAAAAACAAAAAAACAACCCAGTCTGAGTTTGAATGTCTGTTTGGGTGGGTGTCTAAGTTTAGGTCTTTATTAGAGGAAAAGGGGTTTCGTCTGTGCTCTCAGGGCCCTTGTCTTTCTTCATTCAGTTGTTGTGTGAGTCAGCGTGAGCAGACAAAGACAGGACAGTCTGTATGAACTGAATAATGCATCAGGATTTCCACTCTTCCCTCCCTCGTATCTCATTTCTCATCCTCATCCCCATCACTCACCCGAGCCTCGCATCTTTAAATCGTCTGTTTGTTTTCCTAATACTCACCCAGGTGCACGACCTTTGTTCCACGTCTCCCTGTCCACCATCAATCCGCAGCATCACCCCGTCACTCTCCCTGCCCTTCTCTCCTCCCTTTTATCACTCAGCCCCTCTGAAGCCCACTCATGTGGAACGCGGCGGGGTGAAAATGCTGCTCTTTCAGCGCAGCCTCCGCACGCAACAGCAGAGGGATCGTGTGCGAAAGACCGGCGGACGCGATGCACCCCAAAGCGACTGCGGACAGGAGCCAAAGAGGAGTGAAACGGTGCAGTGGAGGGGTTGTGCAAACCACAGGTCATCCAAGGGTCTGAACTGACTTGAAACGATGGCAACGTCTCACACCGGTGAGATTTGTTTTCATCGCTAGAGTCAAAGAAGCAGGTCATGGTGAGAGGGCTGACACTCAACATTGATATTAGACACATTGATCTCTTGATATTAATAAATATTTTTATTCTAACAGGTCTGGGAGGGGAATCCAGACATCTTTCTCCCTAGCAACCCTTTAAAATATTTAAAATTATGCCACACATAGGAAGCGTCCGCAACAGATCTTTGGATTTCAGCCAAATGCAGTTATAGATTTACGCCAGCAGGTGGCGTGTCCTGTAATAAGAAATAAGTTTTTTCACCGTACCAAAACACCAAATGTTACGTCTGATGTTCACTATGTAAATCACTTGCACAACTTTAAAATATTAGCTTAGAATTCTTTATTTACATCGTCACTTACCCAATATTGTGAGAAATCAATTGCAGGGCGATATGCTTTTTGACATTTTTCCTATCATGACGAGATTGCGGTTCACATTTTCAACCTCAGAAAGTACAGTAATCTGACCTTGTCCCTCTCCTACAGGAGCTGGAAGCAGCGTCGTTCTGGACGTACGTCGTTCAAGCTAAGCCCCGCTAGCCGACGCCAGAAGTGAACTTTTATCCTGGATCTTGTTCTTCACCATAAGTTGGTTGAGAACGTCAATAGTGCAGTAAGCTGAAGATGGCAGAAGCGCATCGTCTGCAAAAAGATGCACAAAGAAGATGTGTCCATAAGGTTCTGATACGGGACATATTAATCCACCGATACACATCCAGATATTACTGACGAACACCACAAATGTGATCAGGGACCCTGTCAGCTCCTAGTTTGCCTGTCCAAGGATCCGGTAGTCCTCGAAACCTTCCCATACTCTCACACTATGTTGCATAAAACAGCTTATGATATGGCCATACGACTTCACCAGATGCAAAAAGAACACATGGACAGCACAACCAAACCACCATGACGCTGTGTGCAGTTTCTCTGGGGTAAAGATTGAGTTCACAGTCGAGATGAAAGTCACAAAGCTCCTACTTGTTTCCAGGCTTGAATGTCAATTCCACCACCCTGACATAGACTGAGAAGCGTGAACTCTTGGCATGTGGGGAACATTCTTCGTCTCCTTCTGTTAAAGATTGGGACCAACACTTCAAAGATGTTTCAGCAGGTATAGAACAACAACAATGAATATATCAACTCAGTAAAAGCTAGGAACCTTAAAAAGACTTCTGATTGGGACAGCGTCTGTATAGGATCAAGAGTTCAGGTTTGTGTCAAGTTACCCTGTTGAGTGGTAGCGCCAATGCTAAGGTCATACTTGCTAGCAAATTGAACATGACTCATTTCCAGGTGATATATCATATATATGTATATCAGTACAGGTTTAAAATGTATATATTTTTAGTAATTTTTTTATGCTTCACTGACCAATCAATGACTATTTTAGTACACAGTTTTCTTTATGTTTGGTAGCACTTATTCCAATTTAATTAGCAGGCAGTGTATGAAAACATGAATAAAGACGACAGCAAAATAAATGAAAAGTAACTTTACCAGACACAATGTAGTGGAAAACAATGAAATTGGTAGCATTGCTCCCAATGTACACGCAGTATTCAAAACTTAATAGGACATAATATTTTACAAATTGCCCCTCAATTTCTCATATTCAAACTAGAAGAACACAATAAGAAAATGTTTCATTTCTATTTTAAAAAATCTCTCCAAAATGGTGCAAATTGTTCTACCGGTTTTCTTAGTTATTTTTTTATTTTTTTTCACTTTCTGGAGAAGCGACCCAACGGAGGATTGATCGAGCGTGGCGAACAAAAAACAAACAAAGCCGAGCAGCTCTCCGTTCACTGGAAACGTCTCCTGATGAAATCTGTTGCTCAGAAATCCCTGAGCATATTTCTTCTAAACGATTCAAAGTGGTGATTGCAGGGAGAGGAGGAGGATTGGGCTTAAATAACAGCCATCACTCATTCTCTTTTGATTTTCAAGGCTCTGTCCCAAAAGGCCGTCCAGCAGACTCACCTTCCCTCCTGCCCTGGAGCCATTCTGCACACCTCCGCTCTGATTTTCGGTGGCGGTCCAGTAATGAAGCCGCTCAGCCTGTGATGTATGTTCCTCCGAGGCTGCGGGCCGTGTGGGCCGAGCTGCTGAGCCAGCGAAGGCCTCTCCATTACAGACGGGTTAACGTCTTGTGTCAAGCTTTTGGTCGGCATGGCTGCAGTTGTGATAACAACGTAATGACTTTCTGCCTCTGATTACCAAAGGCTCCGAAACGCGTGGGATCAAAGTAAATTAAACAGAGTAGCACCTTCAGCTAGACAAATAAACGTCCTTAGAAGTGGTGCATGATGGGAGGATTACTCATATTTTTCCTTCTAATTGGGACAATACATCATTTATTTTTAGCACAGACGGGGCCAAACGCAGAGGTCCAGATTACTGACAAATGATGGAGGGGAGGGCGAAAGGGGAGCCGGGGAAAATTCAGTAAATCTGAAAACTATACATTGATTCAAAAGAAATATTTTTATTAGAGTGCCTGTGTTCTTTTTAAGCGTTTATTTCAAGTAGCACGAAGGGGGAAAAAAATCTGTCGAAAATCTATTTTTTTTCAACCGAAACGCAAGTCTTTCCGTTTGGATCCAGGGTCTCGGGTTCAAGTGAGTGCATGTGTGTGTGTGTCTATTTGTGAGTGCATTTAAGAAGGCGCAGGTGTCTGAGTGTGTGTGGTCCCACAGCGGAGGTGCCGGTCGTATTTGGAGGTCTTTTTTGAGAGAGGAGGCCTCTCGCAAGAACCGTCACTGCCAGGGTTAATATCTGCTTCCCATCTTTTCCAAGTGGCCCATGAAGAACCGCGGGTTTCCCCACATTTCATTTTCAAAAACAGGCGGGGAGGTGGAAGAAAGCCTGTTCTTATAAAATTACGAGTGCTCGAAAAGATCTAATGTGGTCTTAATTGTCTCGCCGCATTTGACAATTGGTGTAGAAGGAGGGAACGCTTTGGGGCTCGAGTGTGTGAGAGAGAGGGGGGTTCAAGTATGTTTCAAATTACAATGGGACCTCTAAAGATAATGTGCTCGGCTTTGTTTTCTACAACAGGACAAGGAGATGCAAGGCTTGTGAGGTGCCTTTTTTTTCTTTTCTTTTCTGCTTTTTTGAAGGAAGGAAGTACAAAAACGAGAAGTTTGAATCGGGAGCAGACGGAGAAAGAAGCTTGTATTTTGTGTTTTGTGTGATGAGTTTCCTCCAAGCCTCACAGTAATCACGTGAAAGAAGCAGACACTGGCGCTGACTTGAATCGCGAAACAAAACAACAGCCTAAAGTGACAAAAAAAGAACAAAAACAAAATATTAACAAAAGATTTATAAAAAAAAAAAAAGTTATGTTTTGTGGTTTATGTTGACAATCACATCATAAGAGTCCTATTGCGGACTGCTGATTAATATGCAAGGTTATCCATCAGAAAGCCCGGCTTGCTACACTGAAAAAAGTGATTTTTGCGAGTGTTAAATATGATCCATAAAAATCATGTACATTTTAATGTATTTTTTCAGGTAGCCAATGATTGAAGAAATGTTGGGTAATTTCTACATGTGCTACCCATTCGTTAACATTAAAAACTATTAGATAGGAAATTACAGTAAAATCTACCCCCCATTCTTAAGTCCGGTGCTCCAAAGCTGCGCATGCGTCAGACCGCGTTTTTGAAAGAGAAGCGGGACAAGGAACTCTGGATCCTCTCTGCCATCGAACCGGGAGCTGAAGGTAAGCTATTAATATAGTTGTGCTGTGAATGATAGCACGAATGCAAATTCTAACATTACAAATGATTAGATACTTCACTTATATTCGATGTGCATCTCTGTAACATGCCAATACTGTACATCAAAATTTGAATTTTTCCATGGCGGCAACATGGCTGTTAACTGTCTGGACAACTGCAGGTTTGAATTGGTTCGCAGTGCTTTTGAGATTAGCCAGCATGCATGTTTGTTACCGCTGGTTTTAAGGTTAGAAACTAGTCTAACGCTAACGCTGAACTTTTGCCGGTGTGGTTAAGTTGTAACGGTCGTTAAGTATCTGCAGGTCTCTGCTCCCACGTCACGCTGCACCGAGACACGGGCACAAATAATTTGCTGAACAATTCATTAGTGTATTTTCGCCGCACATGAGAAGTTCCGTCTTAAAATACTAATAGTAATATGTCGCCAACATATGAAATGCCTGCCGTGTTTTATATTGTTGACCTGTTAGCTTTGTTAGCTAACATGGCTGCTGGAGTCGCTCTCCGCCGCGGTCTGTTTAAAAACAACATGATTTTCTCTCCAGTTCACCTGCATGTCTGCGTACGTGTGTCTATGTTGTGAAAGTTTAGCGTTATCTCATCGTTTTATAATTTTTCTTCCCCTCAAGAAACATTCATGTGAAGACTATGAGATTTTTCATTTAAAATTAGACTTTTGTCCTTTTATTCCTAGATCAAGGAAGAGTTCAGACTTATCGACAGTTTCCTTGGATTAGACATTCACTAAAGCTTTCATGCACAACACACCAGGTCTTCTGCAGCTTATGCTGCTAAACGAGGGGCTGCTGGTTCAAAGATGCACCTTCTGCTGGACACTTTAAATGACGTATGTTAATTAATTTTTTTTCAGAAATATGTCATTATTGATATACTTAAATTAAACATTGAAATAATTTGTAAAGAGTTGCTTTGTTGTGCACAAAGTTGAGCTCCTTACCAACTTAGTGTGTGTAAATCTCTCCCCACTCTCCACTAACAGTCTTTTCACTAAATTGCATCTCCCTACAGCCACAGAGCATTGAGGAAAAAAGGGATACAGTTGTCTGCTGCCTCATTAACTACTTTGGTGAAAGACCAGAAGATCTTTTCCATGACTGCCAGGTATGTCCTTGAAAACAGATGATCGATTAACTCAAGGGATCCTCTTCACTCCTTTTCCTTCTCTCATCTTTTCCTTCTATCTTCTGATCACTACCCTTTGCTCTCCTTTAGATATGTTGAAATGTATGGAAAAAGCATCTTCAATAAAATTTTAAATGTGTATCTTTTTTTATTCTTTATTTTTAACATATAGGAATGTGAGGACCACACAGACAAAACAATGAAGGTGATCGTGATGCACAACATCATGGCTGAGGAGGATCCATCAGATTGTGATTGAGGGAAACCAAGTGATGGAAGGATGTGGAAGCCGAACAAAGACGTGTACTGCTGATGGGACTCATATTTGCCCTGAACCTGGACTATCCAAGCAGCTCAAGAACACATTTGAAGCTTTTCAAAAACTTTTTTGGAAATTGATGGGGCAAAACTACTGAAGAAGGTCCACAGCCTCAAGAACAAGCTCATGCAATAGACATATATTTTCCGTCTTGTTCCAAGAGGATCTTTTGTCTGGACAGAGTTTTAAGGTAGTATAGCTTTTTTATTTGTGTTCTGTTCTGTCCTCTGCTCCACACACAGACATATATGTGGATACATAAGTACGTTGCAGCCTTTCTGAGCCCACTCCATTGTTCTCTGATTTCTCCACATTGACAGAAATGGAAAAACAATGTAAACTGGACAGTTTGGTCATTAACACTGACTGAATTCTGACAAATTTAAAAATCACCTCTTTCCCAATTTTGTTGTTTCTGTTATTGTCATTCTATCTGAGAGTGAGTGCAACGATATTAACTAAGGACTGTTGTTTTTCTGATCTGTCTTCATCCACATGTTTCATACTGTACACATGCAGAAAAAAAACACGTTGCAGTTTGTGTGTGGGTTTTCAGGCTTTTGGAATAGAATAAGGATTCTTAAAGTTTGGTTGCATTAAATACTTATCCAGAGACAACAAATGTAGCCTTAGCTCAGTGTTATAAAATGTGTTTTGAAATGTCTAAATGTTGTAGCTGTTGTACTGCACTTTATTCATTTATTGTTAATGTGTTATAGTTCTGTTATTTGTTGTGTTTAAATACACCTGCACATCTGAAGATTTGCTCAGTCACTGTTGTGTGAGGCCGAGGAAACACAATTAAGACTTTATACCTTGCACCTCACTTCTCCTTTAATTTTCTCTGTTCTCCTAAATTGTCCTTTTCTCTGATGTACTCCTGAGATTGGATGTCTGACATGTTTTATAGTCCTACATTACTGAAAAAATATATATGTTATACTGCGGTTTAAGTATTTGCAATTTTGCTTGACACTGCTGTGTTGTACTTATTTCTGTTGTACTTTTTGGATGAATTCTTAGAATAAAATAATTGTAAAAGTGTATCATCTCGATCTATTATTTGGAGCTGCATTTTAACTTACCCGAATAAGTAAAGGTAACTCAGTGATTTCAGTTAACTTTAACTCTTAATTTTCAGCTAAGATTTACTAGCAAACAAGACAAATTTTTACCTATTTTAACTTACTAAATACCTGTTGAATTTAACCATAAATATGAGGTACATTTTACCCAACTTTTTTAAGTATTTCTTACATGTCTAAGTTAATTACTTAATACTCAATATATTTAACTGAATATACCTTAACGGGGACAGTGCAAATTGTTACCTCACTTTTTTAGGGTAAATTCTATAGTTTGCTTTTTACAGTGTAAGTTATATAATTAGCTGACAACTCAAGCATTCGGCCAAGGGGCGGCGCTATACCCACAGGAGACAAAACAATCAACAAGCAAATCCAAAGAAGAAAGATAATAAAGTTTTGCTTTAGTGAGTAGAAACAAAGTGTTCCAGCACCAATATACATTCACTCCATGAGCAGGAGCAGTAGGTAGTAGTTAATATTTTTACGCTCAATAAAATCCCCTTAATGCTCCGAACACACCAATCTGCAGTGGCATTGTGATTGCAGCACCAATTTCCCCACATCAGGGCAGAGCAGCACACAGTTTGCTGCAAACTCACCTCAGTTCAATCATCTCTCATCAAGCCTCTGCTTTAAAGGCCTTCTCGCTCTGTGCCTGATTGTACACATTAGTTGTGTCGTTTAAGCTTTCTCTTTGACTAATGTTCCTATTGCTACTCACCACATGTCTCCATGTGTTTTCGTACAAAATCTCACCCCAGGGCGGCTACGATCAGATCTGCCCACCTGGGTGACCGAACTCTGTCCAAGAGGACCTACGACTGGGATTCCTCACTCGTCAGTGGGACAGAATGACCTTTCTGTCCCACTTCTCCCACCTTGCTCAGAAATAAGCAAAGAAGTGAACAGACCTCAGGAAGTATTTCACTCAAATCCTAACCCTTCCTCAACAGCGGAAACCTCTACAAGGCAAGTGAAGCATCTTGGAGATACTTGTTTCTTCACTTACCCCAGAACCAAGATACCAGACTTGCAGCCCATCGGCTTCTGCAAGAAATCGAAACACTGATGTGTGTTCAGTAAATCTTACATTTGGTCAGGAATAGCGGTTATTAGCATCGCATTACATTTTCTCAACAGGACAATGTTTCTTGGATGATTAGGTTTGGCAACGGAGCTTTACTATCGCTACTGTCATTAACTATCATTAAACATTGCTTTTCTGCCCCACTTAACCATTGATTAAATTAAACTAATTTCAATACCAGACAAAGATTACGTCAGTAAACACAAAGTGAGGTTTTGATACAGATACTTTTTGTATTTATTTAGGAAAATAACGCAACCCCGTTGTTAAATTGTGTGCGAACCATGTTGTTTGAGAAGATGAGTTCAAAGCCACTGGGAAAACCCGTTCTTGACTACTCCATCCCATAATCGTTCATGTAGAACCTGTCTGACCGCGTGAGGTAGGCTAAAAGATCCCAAACTGCAACGATTCATTCCCCGACCTGGAATCCATCAGAAAATAATTGACCTACGAGTTTAAAGGTTTACAGAGCCGCGTTGCTTCGGTGCGCCCAGTGAGAACCGCTAAAACGGAACAGGAGCGGCCAGGTTAGCAAAATGACTCCAAAAAGGGCAGAAACAAAAAAGAAAAGAAAAAAACAAGATCAACATCGATAGGACTGCAGGGTTTACTTACCTCAGATGAGGTGTTTGTTATGAAACAATAATTATATTCGGAAAAATTTTAATTCGTAGGAGAGTTCCAAAGTCACCATGTAGGCCTGGTTCACCTGGGCTTTAAAAAAAAAAAATAAATAAGTGGGCGGAAGATCTCCAGCAAAACCAGAACGTCCAGCTATCCACGTCAACAAATAATTTCAAAAGGATTTGAAAAGAAGTTATGTGGTGGCCCATTTCAAGACGACGTTCAGATGTTTTGCCGTGACCTTTATCAGGACTCTTATTCTGAAAAATAACTTTTCAGTGACGTTTAGAACTAAAGCGATTCTGCAGAGAAGAGTGGGCTCACCATGTCAAAACTGAATTTTCTATTTGCATTGATTATTTTTTTGTTTAATCTTCAATTTTGTTTAACATGTACAAGATACCAAAACAAAGGGGTGGGGGAATCTGAATATATCTGTAACGGGGAAGCAACTTGGAGCCAAATGCAAGTCAGTCCCTCTGAAGAGACCTCCTCTGAATTTAGTTAGAAAAAGAAAAAGAAAAATGTCTCTCAACCTCCATACAGGCAGATGAAAAACAAGCTACTCATTTAGCCTGCAACAGTTCTGTCAAAGCCGCAAAAACTGAAACCTGGAAGTTACAACACAGCTTCACTATGTACGGCCACCCGGCTGCTGGGTTTCTCCTTTGCCAGCTGCTATTGCCTAATTAGCCATTTCGAGAATCACCCCGCCAGAGGAGACGCGTTCCATGTAAGTGAATTTCCCTCAGCGCTCATTCACTCCAACGTGTCCCTCTGCCTCGACGAAGACAAAAGCTGCGTATGGCGCACACATGGCTTTTCATTCATGAATATTTGAGGTACTGAGGTGGTTGTATGATGAGAGAAACACACAGGGAAATCTGGAAGGTGTTGCTTTTTCTCTCTCTCTCTCTTTTTGTTGCTTGCCGCGCGAGCGACGTGTTGTTGACGAAGAAATTGAGAAATAAATGAGTCGTGAGATCCGTCGAGGCCAATCGTGTGGGGTTTCTTGTTGCTTCTGATTATTTTCGCAAAGAAATCAAAGAAGAGCTCTGTGTGCGAATGTGGGATTTTACAGTTTACAAAGCTGGAGAAACACACAAGATTCACACCAAAAAAAAAAAAATATATATATATATGTATGCAATTTCTTGCAACTAGAGATTGGATCAGTGCAAGGCTTTTGGGCCCTGGAGGCCCCTATTCTCTGATAAGCTGGGGCCCCGACCGACACTGGCCGTCGGTGTTCTGACCTCTAGAGAAGCCACTTACACCTGACGCAGCCAGAGACCACCATCCCCTCTTTAGTTTGGGTGCAGCGGCCCGCGTACGCACAGGCCAAGCGAGTCCGTCGCCCTCCACCCACCCGACCGCTTCTCATTAGGGCGAGGCGACCTGTGGCCGCGCAGAGCGACTCGTTTAGCATTCTGTGCGCGCGGCGGTGGCACAATGGCCTCCCACTCGCACGAGTCGTTGGAAGATAATAATTAGGCCGGCGGCTGTGCTAAAATGCCTCCCCGGGTCTGGTTCTTCCACGACTTTACACAGGCATGTAACATTATGTGGCTTTCAGAACACTTCAGGAAAAATTATACCCCAAATGATAGTGGTCTTAAGTTGTGGTTTATCCCATTACACGGAGCGCATGCGAGGCGAGAGTGGGCAGGAGCGTAAAATCTGCACAATATTACCAGCGGCAAATTTGGCAGGGAGGTATGGCCACTTCCTTAATGCCACCAACAGCGCAGCAGTGTTTCCCATGCCTCTTATGTCATCTGTAGCCTCAGGGACACGGTTTTTTTTCATCACATAAAACTTTTTTAGATTAACTTCTTAACTCTTTTTTTTGGGGGGGGAAATCAGTTGTGTATCAATCAGACAGTTATTAGTTTTCTTGGTTTTTGGAAAAGATCTTCCTTTTTTTCAGCCTCTTTGACTCCAAGTGGGCTAAAACTTATTGATGAGAACATTAGCTGAGGGAACTAAACCCTAAACATTTTAACTTGACTTGACTGAATTATTCTTCACTGAAACTGCACTTGGTAAATATTTAAAAGCTTCTGATGCGTCTTTTCTGCTGTGAAATGCAACCCGGTTACATATTGTGACATTAAAAACTATTGCCTGGGGGTCAGTTTGCAGTCATGTCAGTACTCAGTGCCCGAGTTGTTTTGTCGTCACGATTGTTTTTTCAAGCTTTTGTATCGTGA